AAAAAAAAAAAAAAAAGAAAATAGCCCATCTGTCACCTGTGATTATTTTAAACAAATAGCACCCCTCCAAAAAAAATACATATATATATATATATATATAGTCTAACTTTTTTATGAATTTATCAAATCAACCATTTTATAATTTTTTTTAATGAAGGTTTATTGTGGGCAGTCCAGCACAAGGCATAGATTTTTATGAACAGCATTAACCAGCGTCACAGGTGAGCAGACGACGGAAGTATGGGTTTTGCAGATGGCCCCCTTGTTTCTGTATTTCAATAAAGGAAGCTTTGGCTCAGAGGACGTGAGGTTTAATCAACAGCGACAGACAAAATACCTGAAGTGTCAGAAATTCAACATTGTCACATTCTTTGAAATCTGCACTGATCCACACATATTTCCACTGGGAACTTTTCTTTCAGTAAAGTTCAAGACAACTTAGCTTGAACACTAAAATATCTTCTCAGCTTTAGTTCTAGGCATAGGGCAGAGCTCAAACATAAGCCTCTTTTGGCACAAGAAACAGGTCATTTGCAACTCTCCCCTCAGGTGTGGGCACACTGAAAAAAATAAAACTCATTACATTAAAACTATAAAAAGTTTATTTTAACTGATGCAGTTATTAATAGTATATGTTGTCAGTACAGTTAGCATACTTATTTTTTGGTAGCACATGAATACTGATAGATTTAATTGTATAGTCTGTATAGTTACGTACTTATTGGTTTTTAGCACACTTACTAAAAGTGTTGTTATTAATGGCATGTTGATAAAGCATAGTAGGCATAGCAATGTTTGTATGCAGATAGTAATATTGATATTTCTGTAAAGTAGATTTGGAAACCTAACCCTGTAACTCACCCTAATCCCTACCCTGTCCCTCACATTACCCCTACCCCAAAGCTATTCCCATCCCCAGACCAGACCTTAAAGTAAACGTATTCCTGTCTTTAATGTGAAAAAAAAAAAGTTTATTTTAGTGGAAAGTAATTGGCAAAAAAGCAATAATCATTTTATTTTTCCACTGATTTGGTTTCAGAATAGGCTACACTTCTCTCCAGGTTGCATGGTACTAGCTATGGATGTGATAGTAGTAGCTTTTCTTGGATCATGACTGGGGTCTCTAACAGGCTCTTGGTGTGGAAAAGGAGGCATAAAGCTTAATCCCAAAATGCCATTTTAGTGACGAGAATGCAATACAGCTGTAGCCACTGCCCAGACTGTAATCCAGGCTTCATTTTTAATGGTCATCTTCTGGGCTTCTCTTATCAGGAATAAGCTTCTTAGAGCTTCATCTCTCCAGGATGAGTACCTGATAAGTGAAGACTCACTCCTACTGAGACATTTAATGCTAAATCTGCTAAATCCCACTCATTAGAAGGGCTGTGCGTAGTTGTTTAAATCTTTGTATTTTTAATCATGGTCATTAGAGAAAAGTTTAGTAACACTAAAATATAAATGTAAAAACTAAAAGTAAATAAATATGTTTACTTCTAGTAAGTACAACATAACCTTTAACCTTTTCTTCTGAAAGGGATACATTCTAAGCCAAAGTGTCCTCAATATCTGAACCTAAATATAGCCAATATGATTAGAGTCTCACCTTTCCTAAAGCAAGACAATCCCAGAAACAATCATCAGGAAATTTCTTTTTATTTTTTTCAGTTTTATGAGATATAATTGGCATACAGCACTGCTTAAGTTTAAGGTGTACAGCATAATGACTGGACTTACATATATTATGAAATGATTACCACAGTAGGTTTAGTAAACACCCATCACCTCATATAGATACCCCAAAAATGTCTTTTTCCGTGTGATAAGAACTTTTAGGACCTACTCTCTTAACAACTTTAAAATAGACCATACAACAGCTGCTATTTTTACTGATCATGTTGTACATTATATCTACAGCACTTATAGCTGGAAGTTTATACCTTTTTATTACTTTCATCCAATTCCCCATCCCGGAAATTTCTTATATAGTGTCCAACATATGAATGCAGTTTAAAAATCTAGATCTTTATGTAAGCCTGGATATACCTATTTCATCATCATGGACACATGAGAGCACCCCATAGAACAGTTCCCTTTGGAAAGTATGCTTTACGAAGCCCGTACGGTTTTTACATTCTTCCCAGCATCAGGTTTGACCTGCCACTCCTCCAAAACAAGCTTATAAGCCATATATAGTCAACATTTATTTTCTAGTTTGTTTTTGTTTGCTTCTACCACTGAAAACTTATGGCAGTTGTAAACCCTAGCAAAGATTTTTTTCATTCTTGATAGTTTTGGAATATGTTCACAATTATAACCTCTAAAATTACTATATTGCAAACTATTATATTCAAAATTGTAATATCATTAGCAAGCAAAATTTTACTCCCTGCTGGCCTTAAGATTATATTCATTCTTAGCTACTTTGATTTCGTTTCAATTATTTTATTATAAAAGTCAACTCAGTACTATATATTCACACAAACATTCCTCAAACTTACACAAATATTTGATATTCTCCTGTAAACTTTCTATTTTTATTCCTGGTAAGTTGGTCATGTTTGTCCTCTCTGACAAGGGACACTAGTGTTCAAACAATCCTTATATGCACATACACTCCACACACAAACTCGGTATCTAGGTTTGATTTCGATCCCTATAGAGTAGACATATACGTATTATTATACAAGTAGGGATAATTATTCAATTTCTTGTTATAAATTCAGTTGATTGTTCTCTTGTTCTGCAAAGGCGGTGTCTATTTTACCATGGATTCCTAATGATAGTCTGCTCCTTTGCTTTAAAAGTTATGTCTGTTTTTATGAGATTATGTGTTTCTAGCACTTTTATCCCTTGATGTATTTTTCACTTAATATTGTACAAATAATTTACAGAGTCCAGCTTGGAAGGGATTTTTATTTCTAAATCATCATGTTTTTTTCCTCACACATAACATAACATAAATGGAATAAATGTTTGCCAGGACATATAAATTAATACATGTTGCATTATATACTTATATTCATATTGCCTCAAGTATTTTCTTGTTACAAGCAAGTCTTATGTCACCGATGCTTGCTTTTTTAAGAAACCTTGAGTAAATTGTTAGTTTGTAGGCCATTCAAGGGAAAGTTTGTGATGCCCAATAGTAGCTGGAAGTGAGAAAAACAGAAGCTAAAATGGATCTTCAATGTCCCCTCATTGATTTAATTCTCTTGGAAATGTAGGAAATTCTATAAAAGTCTATGAAGCTAAAGGTTTTGCCCTTTTCAAGTGGCAGCTAAGATGCCACAATAATCCTAAGCCAGTTTGTCTCAGTTTGCCGTTTCCCAAAATTAGGACAAATGAGTGGGCTGAAGGGAAAACAGTCGATGTTAACATGATTAATAAACTAACCAAATGCTTCTCCAGTGTCTGGAAAATCCAGCCAGCTAGTAGGGTGAAAAAAATGTGAAGCATGAACAGGAGGAGGAAAGACAGCACCATTTTCATGGCCTTTCTGTGGGCCTCTGTGCTGAAGTCCCTGGAACTGGAGGTCAGCTGCAGATTCCTGGTATGTCTCATCAAGGAGAGAAATAAGAGGAGCAGTGACGTCAGGGACAGAAGAAAGGGAACTGAGTACATGAAACTGTAAGCAATCAAGTTGTTAAGATACAGAGCATTACTGACTAAGGGCGACCACGTTGAGTTTCTTTTGTACATGTTATAGTCCTCCATCCAGAGATCATTTAAGGTACCTGCTAATGTAATGCTGAAAGACAGTGAAAGCAAAGACCCCAGTTGAAGCACAAGAAGCACTCTGCCAACTCGCCACCTGAGCCAGGTAAAGCAGGGGTAGGAGAAATTGGCTATTTTGAAGAAGTAGAAAACGCTTAGACAGGTGGCAAACCAGGTAGCTAGGTGATTGGACAGTGCCCAAAACACAGCAAAAAATTTTGGTATCTTATCAATGGTGTATAGATTTGGCCATAACATTATTACAAATGAGTCAAATAGTGTTATCCAAAGAAGAATGATTCTGGAGACAGCCAGGCAGGTGAGGATACAGTCAGCTGATGAGAGTTTTTGACTCTTCACCCAGTCAAGGCAGTTAACTAGTACAATGAAGCCATTCCCCAACATTCCAGCTGTGAGTTCTGCTACTGTCGTTATCAGAAAAATCTTTTCAATTCCAGATGGCATTTCTGTAGGAAGAATCCAGAAAGCTCATACTATTTTTCACTAATTTTCTTTTTTGCTGTCAAAATATTGTAGAATAATATCCAGTTTGATATTTTTCACCTTTATATTAAAAATGCCCCCCAAAACTCAGATACCACCTCCTATATCATCATGAGAGATCTTTCTCTAGTTTCAGCCATAGGTCTAAAATACGTGCAAGGAGATCCAGTCTCACAGATTTTAATGAGAAATGTTAACACTAATTTCAGTCAGCTAACTGATTTCCAAATTAAACAGTAAATGTGCCCACTCATTGGTACTGGCAGCAATTTTCCACTTGTGAGGACACCTGGAAGGATAAATTCAGGTATGCAAACATGCAAACATAAGACATTTCTTTACACCGATGTGTACTTTCCCTTTCAATTGAAACTCAGTACCATTTGGATTCAAGTTTTTTTATTTTAATAGATTTCTCTAAACATAATCTCTATAATACAGGCATTATTCATTAATTCCATGTAATAAAATTCACAATATTTTAGACACTATTGGAGACAAAATAAGTGTAATAAAGAGAAGTAAAATAAAGAGCTCACAGAACAGTGGAAAAACCAACATAGCTTTTTAGGGTTTCTTGAAGAAATAGACAAAAAGGAAAATGATTTTTCAGAATGATGTAAAAGCAAAGCAAAGATAGCAAAATCGGAGTTCTCTCTGAGATATTACTCTGAATTTTTGAGCTTTGTTTCCAATAAATTACTGCTTATTTGGTTCTGAATAAACTATTATCAGTTAAGAGAAAAACAAGAGTAAGCAAAAACAAGGTAGAAAAAAAAGCAAAAAATAAGGCGGGGGTCAGAGGGCGTTTCTCCATTTTATTAATTATGCTTTTCGTAAAAGTCTTTGTCTCAAAAAAATCAATTTAAAGTAAAATATATTTTAGCTTGTTTTTTGCTTCCCCAAACAGGTAACTCTAAAATTATGATTTTTCAACCTTGACTGCAAGTTGGAATTACCTAGGGAGCTTTAAGTATACTCGTATATACTGTATTAATGCCTGTGAGCCATGCATAGGGATTCTGACTTAATTGGCCTGGGATGTATTGTAGACATTCACTGAACACTCCCTGATGTGTGCTTTACAGGACCTCCTAAACCCAGGCAACAATCTCTCTACCCACAAGCTGCAAATCTATGAAGATTCTCCAGGAACAAGACAAGATTTAGCCCACTGGTCTTCTTACAATGCATTCTCCATTCAGCCAATTTTTACTCTAGTACACAAATAACCTGTTTTGTGTGGGTCTCGGCCTATCAGTAGTGATGCTGTCGTGCCTGAGACACTCACCTGGGCCTCTTGAGGAAGCCCCCACATATGAGTACATTTCCTCGCCAGGCCAATGTTGTGGCTGGGTCAGCCCTTGTATGTCTTATTATGATTGTGAGACCTACCTCAGCAACAACAAGGGAACTTCAAAAAAGCAAGATTTATTACTCACAAGTCCTGTAGGGTACACAGCAGACCCAAGGCCACACAAGGAAGTCACAGGTAGACAAAGAGAAAGTACAGACCTGGGGTTCTGCCTTTACTGAGGTTGAGGGTTGGGTGCCTAGGTGTTCACAGGATTACTGTTTTTTTGGTGAATTTAAAACAAAAGGGAGAATTAGGACACAGGAAGGGAAAAGTGGGGTCACTCAGCTGGTCAGTTATCTAGGTTAGCCGGGACTTTCTGTATGGGGAACTTCATAGGTTGGAGCAGCCTGGCTTCTTATCTAGGTGTTTTACTGGTAGCTGTGTCATACAGCTGGCAATATGTTTGTTCTAGACACATGTCTTTGAAATGGATGCCTGGGCAATCAAAAGCTTAATGTTAGGCACTTACACTACATAACCTTAGGCACCAATTACCTTGGCAGCCACGTAAGCTGCATGAGGGAAGGTTCTTTTTTGTTGTTGACCACCCATCTATTTCTAATTCCTAGAACAGGAAGGGCTTAGCAAATAGTAAGCCTTCGATAATTATTTGTTAAATAAATGAGTTCTAACTTAGTTGGCAATCCTATTGGGAGCGTAGAAAAAGAGAAAATGAATAAAACTTGACCCTGAAACTCATATAAAAGCAAGAAAAGAAAGTAACTCCTTAAAACTAGAGTAAAGTTTGCAACGTATGTATGAACTCTTGAAAATTTTCTGTACTAACACTAAAATAACCAACACTTTGTGGTGCTAATGAGGTCATACAGAATCATAAAAACTTGCAGACCTAGCACCCTGGATGTGGGGGCCTGTGTACATTTCTTCATGAAAGAGAACTGCTTCCAGCCCAGGGAGTTGGACATGGGTAGAAAACTCTAGATTTCATGGCAGGGGAGCAAGATGGTTCTAGAGATCACTGATGTTTTCAGAAATAGCCTGAAATGGTACAGAAGGCTATCTGAGAAGAGGAGTCCTTCAGTAGACATGGTTTAGCGGACATAGTGGACAAAAGCTAGATAGCAACAACTCAGCCAACAGGAGCTTAGTCATTTAAGAATTCTTGAGTTCATAGTTACACTACAGAAAGAACTTGATCTAAAGGGTGTCATGACAAGTATAAAAATCAAAAGTGCCATATGCTACGAATTGAATTCAAAGTCCACGCTAATAATCACATTTTTAAAAATTTATGTAACTACAGATCTGTCTCAGCTCCTGGGTTGAACTGTCTCTACATGCTTCATTCTTAAAATGGTTGTGTTATACATTTGTTATGAAAAGGTGCTATTGTATATATAACTATAAAGAAGATTATTACAAAATGTTTGGACAGATAACCATTAATTAAATTGATGTATATGCTATAGTGATAATCCAAAATAATTAGTCTAAACTTATAATGATGACTATAATTAAAATCAGAAAATTTATGAACATTGATTTTATAATTATTAATAGAAAGAATGACATTTCCTCCAAGAAACAGTGAGAAAATACATTGGCCTAATTAAAAAAAATTCTGACCTTTGAAGTGATATTGATAAATACATAGTGATAAACTACTGCTTATGTGAGGTAAAAAAGGTAAATCAACTGAAGAACTTATGAGCTTCTATCATTAATACTACCTTTTTTGACGTGAATTCTTCCTGTTTCCTCTCTGTGTCTGTGACATCTTCAGTGAAATAACATACATGAACTTTCTATATGACTCTTTCTATTGTCTTTGTCCTCCCCAAGCCCACATTTTTAGATCTCCCAATAGTCTCAGGAAAGCCAGCAACAAATGCTCCGCTAGCTGTGACAATCTCTCTGATCCTACCAACAACAAACTTTTCCATTTATTTGCAAGCAAAGAAATAGCCTCCTCATTCTTTTTTCATCACAACTTGGACTTACATTGAACTTAGCAACGATTTCTTCGATAGTCACTAAAGTATTGGCCTTTGTGTTTACTTAGGTAAAAGAGACCTTCACTGTTTCTTTGGCTGTACTCTAACCCCAGAAGCAATTAGCTGGGGCCAGGGCCATAGCTCAAAGGGACAGAGAGATTTCATCTTTCACAAACGGAGGATATTTATTGGCCCAGTTTAATCACTGCTATCCATGAACATCCTTTCATGTTTCATTGTAGGTTTTTGGTTTCACTTAGCATACTCCTTTAATTTTCAAAACTGAGGGCTAGTTTTTTTGGGTTTTCTTCTCAAAATCCTTAGAGGGTAAACATATCCTCACTGGCTCTTCCTCATGACAAGCCTAAGACAGAACCAGTCTAATTTAATAACACCAACCCCCACACCGACAAGCATTAGAGTCTCATGCTTAAAATGAAAATGGTTGAGCATTTCTTTAGTGTTCTGAGGCTGCATTTATATTGATGTAAAAAAAGTAGAACTTGAAAAGCTATAGTCTATGACACCAGATTTGGTGTACAAGGAGACAGAAAGGCTTGCCTATGTATGTTTCTCAAATTCATCAAGCTTTTCAGATCAATTTGTTCTTGTGAAGATTGGTCTTAAGGTCCTCATAGATTACTAACCTAGACAACATAACCAGTATCTTGAATGACAAAATTGAGGATGACTGTGGAGATGCAAATGCTCCTTAGAGGATGTCTCTGGTTCAGAGGAGATGAAATCTAATCAAGATCTTGCAAGAAGTCACCTACTGACGGGGAACAGATAAACCACCTGAGATGTAGAGAAAATTGGCATGTCTCTTTCTCAGAGATCAGTATAGGTGTGGGTTTCTTTTTGATATATACACTCATTAAGGTTCAAGGAAGCATGCCTAGGCTGTGCTTGGTTTATGTCTTACCTGATGATGTCAGCACAAGCCTAGGGATCAGAGATACGACTATTTCAGCAGTTGAAACAGGTTATTTGTTCCTCTCCTATAAATCACCTGGGTGGACAAATTGAAACAAACAATGATTACACCCAAATTCTTAAACATTTATTTGGTGAGTGAGAGTAGTTAACAAGAAATCAGCGATAATCTCTGTCTCTCCTGACACTTTGGTCCCAGGGTAGGATATAGTCATGTCAGTCGTTCTTCTCCAGTTTGTATGGGACTGCGATGCAAGTGTTAGGAGCGGCTCTTGGACTGTGGCTTGGCTGCTACTGAGTCCCCCACAAAGGCTCTTGTTATGGAGAAAGTAAAGGTGCAGAGCTTGATCTCATCTACCATGCAAATACATAGATTACAATACATCAATTGCAGTAACCCCAACCTATGGTTTGGTCTTGCTTTTTCTAGCCCACTGCTGTACCTCTTTGTCAAAAACAGGACCCTGTTCCTTACAGTTCCATCTCCTTAAGGTTGCTGCAAAAGTATGGACTTACTCCTAGTTAGACATTGATTCATTTACCTCTAAAACACACTTATTAGAAGCAAGGGTTGCTCATAAGTTGGCTCAGTTACTTTCTCTTGCTTACCAAAGAAAAGTTTAGAAACACTAAAGACTAAATAAATGTTTTTGGTTATCATCTTATAAAGAGTACAAGATTATCTTTAAGTTATTTACACGAAAGAATATCCAACAAACTCCACATCTAAATTTAAACATATTCAGCTTGCTTGTGTATTACCTTTTACCAAGGCAAGATAATTACAATGATAATCTGTGGTAAAATACTAAGTAAGTGTCCAAAATGATATATGTACATTTTATTTTGTAAAATGTAAATTACTTAGTAAAATACACACTATATTTCTTATCATTAAAAACCATTATTAATATCATTATTGTTATTAATATACAGAAGTGCCACATAGCCTAGATGTGCTTGCAATTTAGTTTTCTACATACGAGATGGGAGGATGTGGAGCGCAGGGTGAGGTGTTAGTTCTAACCTCATTTGCAGCTCTAGGGAGCAGCCCTAGAGCAGTGCTCTTGCTCCCGGCTCCATCAAGATTAATTTACAACCTCCATATTTATCACCATTTAATTGCAGCTTTTTGTTTCTTTAACACAATCTAAAGAACACATAAAAAGTGAACTCTAAAAAATGAATTCTTCATTTTTAAAGAATTCCATTATCCGTACACACATAGCATCTGTACAATATTATAATCCATACTGTCATGTTTAAAAGTGTATAGCAAATTTTCCCACCCTTAACCTTATTTACAATGGGTAGCTACCTTATTTAAATTTAGATTATTATAGTAAAAACAGCACAACATATATTATGCATGTCCCAAATTTACACTAAACATGGTATTCTGTTATAAATTTTGCTTTCAATGTAATCATGATCTTTTTATAGTAACAATATGAGTGTGATTTTGAATTCAGGAATAATTCTTCTATATATTTTTAATTCTATTACATAACATGGTAGAAATATCTATTTCTACCACTCTGAAAATTCATATTGCTTATCCTGGAATTTAACAAAATTAATAAATGCCTTATATACATCAAAATATTTATGATTGGGAGTTTCAAATTAATATTAACATTATAGCATATGTTTCCAATTTCTACTTAAAGATAATTTATTATATTTTGCACTGCAAATATTATTCTTATTCTCAAGCATTTCATTCCCTCATTATTAATAATATGAACAACAACACAATGCTTTTTCATTCAAGAAAATGTTAGGTCTTTAAGCTATGAGGTCATGTTCTTCCCATCTATGACTTTAGTTGCTCAATTAACCTTTCTATCAACATTTTATATATCTTCTGCCTAGTCAGATTTGTAATCCATCCTGATTGCTAAAGAACTATGTGCCTCTGCCCCTACATGAGTTTCAATTACATACATCTTTTGCATATAAGATTAAATAATTCAGATTATCTTTGAGAGAATATTGGTAACCAACGTTTTAAACAAAAACGATTGCTTTTAAAATTATATTGTCTGACCATGTGTAAATTATCAACAAATCAACCTGTTCTAGAGAAAAATTCAATTATGCTCGACAATGCTAGGAAAAAAAAACTGTAGAAGTGAAAATCAATCCTCAAAGTCTCCTCATTATCTTTGAAAAGATTCTGGAAAGTCTATCTGTAAAGCTGTAACAGATTTTTCTCTTTTCAGGGAGCTTTTCAGATGCCAGAGAACCTTCAAAGCTTTCTGTCTTAGCTTGCTGTTTCCCAGGATCAAGATAATTGGGTGTCCTGAGGGAAAGACATATACTGCTAACAAGACAAACTTTGTAAACTTGTTGTTCCAAAGCATAACAAATACCCAATTTGCCAGTTGTGTGGAAAACAAATGAACTAGGAAGAGAAAGAGGAAAGACAGCACCCTGTTTATGGCCCTTTTATGGGCCTCTGTGCTGGAGTCCCTTGAGCCCATGGAGTTGAGCTGCAAATTTCTGATGTGTCTTCCCAAGGACAGAAATAAAAGGAGCAGTGAGATCAGGGACAAAACAATAGGGAACAAACAGGTTAAACTAAGAAGAGCCAGGGTTTTAACAAAGACAGCTTTACTTTCCTCTATATACGTAGTCATATTATTCTTATCTATCATATAGACTTTTAAGAAGAAATCATTAAATGTTTCTAGCAATAGAAAGTCTAAAATCAGAAAGAACAAAGAAAATACAAGAATCGTGAGAAGCACTCTGTTCATTCTCAACTTCAGCCAGAGGAAAAGGGAGTGGGAGAAGTGAGCTATCTTAAGAAGGTAAAAAATGCTTAGGCAGGTAGCAAGCCAGGTAGCAAAGTGATTAGTTATTCTCCAAAACAAAGTAATAATTTTTGATAGTTTATAAGTGAGATGTAAATGTAGAGGTGACACCATCTCAAGGGATTCAAACAATGACATGAACAACTGACTGATTCTGGAGATAGTCAAGCCGGTGAAGATGAAGTCAGCTAAAGAGAAGTCTTGGTTCTTGACCCATTCAGAGCAGTTTACCAGTCCAATGAACACATTCCCAAGCATTCCAATTATGAATCCTGCTATTGACAGTATCAGAAAGATTATATCCAATTCAGTGGGCATTTCCACAAAAGAAAATCCAAATTTCTGATACTACATCTCAGTGATAAATTTATAATCAAACTGTTGCAGAATAGCATCCATTTTTCATACTTATCTTCATTGCTTTTGTTGCAATTCCAGTCTTAAGTAGAGCTTCTTGCTGTTCGATACAGTCTCATATATACTTAATAAAATCTTTGTGCTTTTATTGTAATTGCGATTCTAATCCGGAAAGATCTGCTAAGGTATGCAGTCTCACATACTTTCTGAAAATGTTTTTATTTCTTTAAAAGGGCTACTAATTTCCAAACCAAACAGTTGTGTTTCCATTTATCTTTGGCACAGACTGAAATTTTCCACTCGTGGAGATGATTAAAAGGTTAAAGTCAAATATGTTAGGATGCAAATATAGGCCAGGTTCTTTATCGCTGATTTGTACTTTCCTCCTTACCTGACATACTATACCATTTGGATCCAAACATTTTAGTTGTTTTTCAAAGAAAGTTTTAGAGATAATCTAAATAATTTAGTTATTATCCAATAAAGATATTTTGTGAGTGCCTGCTATGCATCAGAGTTTTTTTCAAATGCAATATAGTTACTACAAAAAAAAATCACTGAGATAGCTATAAAATAGTGAAAGCACAAAAAGAAACAATGAGATAAAATATAATGTGAACACAGAAAAGGTAACTATAAACATTACTGTCAGGGAGAGACGGGGCGGCAATATTTGCCCTGGATTTTAAAGGTACTTAGAACTTCATGAGGAAACTGGCAAGTCATATTTTGGAGTAATCAAACAATATACAAAAACACACCAAAATCCAAACTACTTTTCTGAAATTAAAGTCTAACTGATAATTCACTAAAATTTCAATCTAAATGTTCCTCAGCTATGAGTAATGCATTCGCAATTATACAATTTCCTGGTTTTGCTCTTTATTTTTGTACTTGTTTTATTTGTTTTGGCCAGAGATTATACTGCTGTTAATTTAGCCTTAATAGACAGAAAATAGGTAGAAAATCATTTCAGATAAAATAAGGAAATAGTAACCAAAAGTATCTGTTCTATATTCTAGGAACAATGATTTTAACAAAAGCTATTAATTCATCAGAAGTGAACTCAGAATTACAGACTGTCTCTTGGTGTGTCAGAAAACAAATATTCTATTGTCAGTATTGAGTTCAAGTGTTACCAAACAACATAAAAAAAAAGAATAAAATCATCAAAAACCTTGGCCCTTTTCAATATTTCTGTCATATATCTCGATTAAATTCTATTAAGTTTTAAAAGTGTATATCTCAAGCATGATTATGAGTAATGAACTATTGGTAAATTGTTTTGTGTAAACAAAAATATTTTAATTTAGGACAAATATTTAAAACTATAGAAAGAAAATAAAAAGGGAAGGAAGGAAAGAAGGAAGAAAAGAAGGAAGGAAGGGACGAAGTAGGGAATTTTTTAAATAAAGCAAGGCTGGATGAAGATAAAGAAATTTGAAAAGAGAATGATAGCTTTGACTATATTAACATCTAGAGATGAGGAGAAATTCATGGCTATGAGAAGCATTTAGGACATAGAATCAGTAAGGCTTGGTGATGGATTTGAGGGCTATAAAAAGGAAGAGAAGCCAGTCATGACATTGAGACTTGTTTTGCACCTGGATGCATGGAGTACTATACCTGAGGGAATCTCTAGGAGAGCAGGTATAGAAGCCAAGGGGTGGGAGACAGAACAGTTGGAAGATGATGAGTGCTGTTTTGAACACTTTGAAATATCTGTAAGTCATCCAAGTGAAAAGAAGCGTTAGGCACTTGGGTATTTGTTACTACGCCTCAGAAAAGGAATTTGGACTACTAGCAGAGATTTGGGAATCATAAGAGATGATGAAATAAGGGCCCTGAGGAACAGCAGCAGGTAAAGAAACCAAAGAAAAGATTAAAAAGCAATCAGATGGAGGAGGGAAACCAAGAGACTAGAGTTTTGAAGCAACCAAGAGCAAGAAGTGATACAAGGAGTGAATAATCAATACTTCCTGATATTAATGAAAGGTCACTCACAGGGAGGTGTCAAGGAGGCCCTAGTTAACATAGCAAGAACAGTTTAACTAAATTGAAGCCAAATTACCATAGATTACATAGTCAATGAGATCCCAATAATGAGGCATTAGAAAGCCAAGTAAGGTAATAACACATTAATAGATAAAAGAAGAAACACCAGGAAAAAAATTGATACAACTGCACATCTATTCATAATAAATGCTCTTGCCAAACTGAGAATGGAATGAAATATTCTTTTTCCTGATTAAAAAAAAAGTCTACAAAAACCTAGAGCAAATATCATACCTATCTATGATGCATTGAAATTATTCCCCTTGAGTTTGGGAAAAATCAGCCATAAACATTTTCTTATGTCTATTTTTTGGACATTTTTACCAATACAGTAAGGCAAGAAAATGACAAAGAGATAAGATTGTAAAGCATGAAACAAACATGTCATTATTCACAGATTATAATTGAGATTACATAGGAAACCCAAAAGTATTCTTAAATACATTGTTAAAATGCAATCATTTATCAAGGTTTCTGGACACAAAATAAATGTGCAAAAATCTGTTCCATTTCTTTATACCATTAACAAACAGTTAAAATAAAATATTCTTGTAAAAGCTGAAATTACCATAACCTCAACAAATATTAAGTATCTAAGGATAAATTACACAAAGAGTATGCAAAACCTTTATGGAGAATATTAAAATGTCTGAAATGGCCTTCGCAGTTTTTAGTCATAAATGACCTTGTAATTAATACATACTGAATATAATTAAACCCGTTAGATATTTTTAAAATTTAAACCATTATCAAACACAGTTTCCCATTGTAGGTATGTTATTCAAGGACATTAAATTCTCTGATTGTGTTGTTGAATGTACTGAATTTTTCTACCTGGTATCTAGACCGTGGATTTATAGCAACCACTTCTAATATAATATTGGCTATTCCTATCTCCATGAATACCAGCTCCGTTTCATTCCCCTAACCCAGTCGCTTGATTTTTTTTTTCTGTTTGCTATAGCTACAGACTCCAGTTTTCCATGTGAGGTGATAGGTGACAGGATAACCTCTTGTTTGCTAATATGAAAATACAGGCTGATATTCTATCACTCTTTTTGCATCTTCTTTGCCTAACAAATGTGTGTCTGTATCTTTAGCTGCAGGAGATAATCAAAGCAAGAATTTACAGATTTAAAATTTTAGAAGTCGACTTAAATATACCTTCATCCAAGTAGATGAGAAAAACGTTGATCAGAATTTGGCCCAGAAAAAAGAATAACTGGGTTTGTGGCATGTCCTATAGTCTGCCAAGTAAGCAGTTATTTGACCATTTACTAATATACCTAATTGCACTGCTCTACAGTTCTTACTCTCTGTTTTGTCCACAAGTATCAGGCAAATCTATATCTGAAGCATTACTGGAGTCAAGGTGTAAAACATGGATACTGTTGTCTTATCTGAAAGTGTAAGAACTGAACCCCAAAGGAAGCTTAGTTTCTCAGAACTTGCCACTCTTACGTTAGCATAAAGAATGTTTATGCTAATCAGAGTGGTTCTTGTCAAGATTTAGAGTTGTAACTGATATGTTATGTATGTCCACTTGTTCAGGTATGTCTTTTTTTTTAATATCAGAATGATTTTAGAAATGAGCCAAGATATTAGTTGAGAAGAACTCAAACTGGTGGGAAAATTATAAACAGTTTTAGTCATGTATTTTACTAATTATAAAAATAATCCTAGCAGCAGTAGTATTTATAAGTAGCATTTATAGAACTCTTACTATTAATATATGTTTGGGTAAAATGATTTATTTGTGTTTGTGTACACATTCACCTAAGAACATATGCAAGAATATTCATAGCAGTGTTCATACTATACATCAAAGTAAATTAAAAATAACTTCAATTGGGGCCGGCCAAGTGGCACGTTGGTTAAGAGTTGCCAGCTTGGGAGTGCCAGCTCTGAGCAGCAGGGCCCCGGTTCAGATCCCACATGAGGGCCAGTGACACTGCGCCCTCTACAGCTAAGATGGTGAACAACAGCTCGACCTGGGCTGCCACGAGTCACCGGTGATGGCGGAGGCTGAGCCCCTGCTGCAGTGGGCTGCCATAAGCTACCTTGAGTGGCCGGCAGTCAGCGTGAGCTGCCATGAGCCACCGTGAGCAGCCGTCCAACGGCCAGTGACCCATCTGCCTCACACGGGAAGAGCGCAATGATCACAATACCAACATGGGTCAGTGAAGCGACGTCCTCCACAACTAGACTGAAGAACAAAAGGACAGCAACTTGCCTGTTCCCCTTCCTTGATTCCCCAACGCTGTTCCCCTCCCCCAATTCCCCAATAAAATCTTTAAAAAAAAAACTTCAATTAAGTGAAACATAGATGAATCTCACAAACACAGAAAAGTTTACATATTCATTTTTATAAGAAGGCAAAACTAACTACAGTGTTAGAAATGAGGATAATGACTACAATGATTATGAAGGGGGCTTTTGGGGTGCTGGTGTAGCTCTATTTCTGTTCTGTAAAACAGCTATAACACTACTTCGAAGGTTTATTCTGATGGTTAAATGAGATAATGTGTAAAAACTGCCTAATATTGTGCCTTACACAGACTGAGTGCTCAATAACTAGTCCCAATCTTGTTTCAAAGAATCCTTGTTCTAAATGAATTTTTCAAATTAAGTGCTGATAATTTTCTTAATCCTTATATCCAGAGTGGAATTTTATACTCTTGATTCATTTATAAAGACAATTTTCAAAATTTTATTTATGATGGTCAAAACTTGGTTAGGATGACAAAAAGTAAAGCAGATTTAGCCTATACAACCGGAAGTTTCTTCTACAGTACCTTGGTTTTCATTGAAAATAGTTGGATTTTAATAATGAGTATAAACTGGCTCATTTTTAAAAATTAATTAAACTTAACTGTGTGCAGGTTGTATGAGTCAGCCAGAAAAACAAATA